TGCAGTAGTATAGATTTAATCTGGCAAGATTCTGTCTATATGGTGTAAGCAAATAAAGGAATTTAATTCAACTGAATTATTTCACTATTGTTCTTGGGCTGGGCCTGACAGAAGCTGGCAGGGAACATCAGAAATCCTTCCCCTCCCCTCCCCTCCCCTCCCCTCCTTCATTTCCACATATATAGGTTTGCGCCATTTGCCCTCCCCTCAGGAGAGTCCTCGTGAAGCCTCCTCCTATTCCTCCTCAGCTGACCAGCAGAACTGCCTGCCACTTTGCTGGGGGGAGGTGGACAAAGGGAGCTGCAAACTGTGAGGAAAACTGCACTCCAGTTCCCCATTCTGGCATGTTCTCAAGGGCCCCCTCCCTCAAGGGAGGAAGTGGGCTCATCCGTCGACCACCTGCACCCTCCAGCCAGCACTACCTTGCCAGCAGGCATCAAGTTGCTCCCTCATCCTTCCCTCAACACCCACAGCTGTTAAGAAACTTCAAATTTCTGCCTTGTTTCCAAAGCAGCCAATCGCCACTCACCCATTGGGCCTTGCCACCAGCTGATTGGGCACAGGGGACAGAGGGAGGTGGGAAGGAGGTTGAGGATATGCCCATAGCAATCATGTGACTTGGGCTGACCATGGTGGTGCAGCAGCACAGCAGTGCTGAAGCAGCCACAAATTTCAATCCCATGGGAGTCATGGGTTCTGGATTTTGGATGCATTGTGTAAATTAGCCCATTTGGGGTACCTTGGTTCAAAAATTGTTGCCCTATGATGCACCATTTCGCCCAGTTGAAGGTTATAGACACAAGAGTTTTAGTAGTATATAGATACCATTTAATCCCCTTGCATTCTACTTATGAGTTTCCTCCCACTAGGTTTCCATAATGTTTATTAAATCATTTTGCCTTCCCGCAATAAGACTAATAATTACTCCTGTGTGTTCCCCATATTCCATGCACTTAAATGAAGACTCTAGAGACCTTGGGTAAGATAACGTGATCTGTTTGTCTCTCTATTTACATGCTTATTATTGGATGCCAGCATCTTATGTATCACTACTAGTACATGGTGTCCCACTATTTTCTGAGTTCTCGTCCCCCTTCCTCATAGGATTCGGCTTAAAGTCCTTTGGGTCAGATTTACAACGTGTCTTCCCAATACATTCTTCACAGCTCTCATGAGGTATGCCCTGTCTCTTGCCAGGGATCTGTCATCACAGAAATTCATACCATGATTAAATCTAAAGTGTTTCCATTGGCGCTATCTCCATAGTCATTTGTTCACTTCCAGTATTCCTCCTTGCAATGTTTTCAAGGCAGTGAAAGGCCTGATCAGTAGAAAGAGATGTTTCTTTATATACATTGTCTGTTTCTTCCAAATGCCTGTGGAATAATATTGTTCCATAATAAGAAAAGCAAAGGAGTGATCTGTTCAGTTTTCACCCAGCTGGTCCTTTTAATATTATTAGCAAAGTATGAACCAGACATATATATGATTAATTTGTTGATTGACTAATTCAAGCTATGATAATGACTCAGATCTAGCTAGTTAACATTTGTTCAGTACATTGATTAGACTTTTGATGTGCGTTGCCTTTATTGATTTGAAGGTGGCCTTGATTCAATACATAGAGATAGATTATAGGAAAACTGACAGTTACAACTATAAATTACAATTTACTTCATTTAATTATAATGACGTATGAAAACAATTGTGTGTAGGATAGATGTGCCATTCCTGGAGATCTCTCTGTTTCAATACCTACCTTTAAAAAGTTAAAGGTCCGTACTTGCTTTTCTCTTTTTTAATTTTTATATTCCCTCATTAACCTCATTAATGTCCTGTCTAAAAGCATATCTTATCATCCAATAATGACCACCCTTGTTAGAATATGAGATTGACAGATTGCTGCTTAGGTTTCTCTCAGTAGGGAGTCTCTGTCACTTCCTCCTCTTTGGGGCACGGGCAGGAATCCGCTCCTTTGCAAACCTGAACAGTCTTCTTCCTCAGTCCCTCAGGCTTTTGGCAGCTGTTCTTCATCTATAGGTCTAGAAATACTGTTAGCAGGGAGGTTCTGGAATGTCTTCTAAAGCTGCAGATAAAAAGAGGTTTCCTTTGTGTCACATTCTTCCATTTTTCCATCCCTTCCACTTGGCTTTCTTTCATCTTCTGGGAGACCTCTTGGTTTTGTTTCCCTGTACTAGAGCTTTCAGTGTCCAATCCAATAATTTCTTATCTTCTCTAGTAAATTGGAGGATAAACAGGTTTGTCTTTAGCCCCTTCATATTCTCTTCTAAGAAGGCATTTAGGCTGCCCTTGCAATATATGTGGTTTTTATTGTATTCAGGGAGGAAAACAAACATAGCCTATCCCTATCCTTTATTCTTTATTATATGGAATGTTTTTAAAAATACTTAAGTATAATATGCATCTTAACTTACTTAGCTTTAGCCAGTTAGCAATTTCATATTTGGTGATACTAAGGTATGTCGTATATACTCGCGGATAAGCCAAGTAAGCCAAAACTGTTCATTAGATGACAGTTTTGGATTGACATACTAAAAAGTGATGCATGGTTCACTGTTTGAGCAACCCCAGTGATCAAGTAGTCCTATTAGTCGTTTGTATATATTACTTACAAATTTACTAAGTGTTAACTATTTTTGTGTTTTTCATTTAGAATATGCATGTGTAATTGATTAGTGATAGTGTTAAGGATGAACAGGAAATTGCTTTTTTGGGAAGGGGACAACAAGCTAATTATACCATAATTTTTCAGATACAAATTCCTGGTAATTATATTGTAAAGTGCATTAAATGGAACTTCTTACTCCTAGAGAGGTAGAGCCAATCTTTCTGAACAAGTTACTATTATGACATCTTATAAAGACTTTCTAAAGGCTAGAACAAAAGGCTTGTTGAATTATGAAATGTGTATTTATATAAAATACCTGTTCTAGAGCCTCCAAATTATATCTTCCATTTTGCTTTTATAAATCTTATCTCCCAAGCACATAGGAAAAGAAAATGAAAATCACATCTTCTCATCCCATTTCTCATCCAGAAATATTTTATTATTTTTTCCACAATACGACTCACATTTTCAACCTATTTTTTAATTAAAGATTCATTTTAGACTTGTAAATCTGTTGTCCAATCTTTATGAAAACTGAAAATCAGGGTTATAGTAGTGTATTATCATACCTTTATGTGGAAAAATAAATTGTTAAAATTCAGCAACATTCATCTTTGTGTTATGCCATGGCAGTGCAAATAAAACATCATGTAGTATTGTTTACAACAAAACCCATGGCTTTGAAATCTTAAAATAAGTCAAATGAATTCTTCTCAGACTGAAATGGTTCAAAGTGGGAGAAGGTTGCAAAAATGACAGCAGGATGTTTAAAATGGTTTGAATTTAGTAGCTGGAAGATAAACTGTTGTGGTTAGGTTTGACTGATAGTACCTTGAAAAAGAACCAGATGGAATTGTGTATCTTAAATTTAACATAAAACTTAAAATGAAAATGAAAGTAAATGTGGTCACCTAGGAAAATAGAACAAATTAAAAGGGCTAAGGTTGAGTCTCAGTGTATACAAAAGATATGGTAATTTGATGTCCAAATCTCCCTCCCTCCCTCCCTCCCTTCCAGTATTTTTAAAGTGAAATGATGATTAATTATATTGCCTGGTCTAGGACAGTATAGGTAGAACCCTATTTAAAAATTTCAGTGTGATGTACATGGAATGTTTGATTGTCCAGAAACTATGGATAAGGTAAAATAAATGACACATTTAAGTGGAACAGATATGCCTTCAGTTCTGAAACAGTTTCCCCGGATTTGTATAATCTCATGTTTTGTAATTCACAATGCTTCTTTACCTCTAAAACCCTCTTTGGAGGGTGTCATGGCATGCACATTTGTCCTGCTTTGAAACTGAAGAGGTGGGCAGGAATCATGCTGGCAGCCTTGCAGCAAGAACTTCCTTGTGTCCACTTCCAACTTTGGGATGAAGCCTGTTGGAAGGCTTGGCTGCTAGGTCACTTAAATGCTTGGACCATCTCAGCCAATGGAGGATTTAAAAATTGTTATTATGTTTACTACTACTACTGCTCTTGAGGGCCTCAACCCGGTAGCAGTTAAACCAGCAAGTTTCCCATAGGCTTCCTTAGCTGTACCTCATCCAAAATGCAACATGAGATCTGTGGCAAGAGGTAAGGTATGATTTAAAAAATGTGGACTGCTGCCTCAGTAATTTTACATTCACAGGACCTCCTCTGACTTATGAACCTTATCAGGTGCTCCCTCTGAGGCCTTATTCTAAAATCCCCCCCACCCCAGTAAATAATAATAATCTGAGAAAAGATCAATGATAAACAGAAATTCAGTTTTTTTACATTCTGGTTCCTGTCTTTGGAATTTGGTCGGTGAAGAACCTTTCTGATTTCATTTTTTTCCTGTCTGTACAGCAGAAAATTTTATTTGCAGAGCATTCTTAGGTGTTTAATTTTAACAATATCTAGTACTGATTTCCTCTCCCCTTTTTGATAAAATGTTTATTGCTATTGTACTTTCCAACTTTTAAATAGGTTTAGTTAATAAGCAAATATTTACAGTCAGTTCAGATATTTACAGCCAATTCATTTTTCACTTTCTACTTAATTAGCCTGGATATGTATGAAAATGTAACCTTATATATTGAAAGTGATGAGTTTGTTTCACACACATAATGGCCATTTTTTTTATATAGCTAAATTTTATTCTTAGCTTCAGATGATTAGGTAAAAGGATTAATTCCTGGATTCTCTTCCTGGATCAAGTCAGTCCTAGACTTCTCCGACTGAAGTACATAATTCCAAAAGGAAGCTACCCTCCTGGTGGTGCTTGGCCACCTGCCAGAAATCAGTTAGGTGAATAAATGATGTGGCTTTGATTTTCTGTAGAAAAATCAAAAGCAAGAAGCCTAAAAAATGAGCAACTTCCTAGTGACCCTTATCAGTTTGTATTGACTGGAGTGTTGGAAAGTATAGCCCAAGTAACAGCCCATACTTCATAAATTGAGAGGGAGAGTATTAGCTTGTTGTCTTCTGTCCAGAAAGTGGTGGGAAAGCTTTATTCATCATTACAGCCTGCCTTTTGCTTCCTTTAAAAATTCTTGTTTTGTACTCCCCATGAGGTAAGGTGAAATTAGATCAATACTCATGTGAGTATGTCTCAATTTAATCTGGAGAAGTCTTTCAAGTTACATGTAATATGTTGTGACCCTTGGATGAAAAGCTTTAAAAAACAGGATGAGAAGACTTATAGCCATCTAGAACTTTTTGAATGAATAGAGAATGGGGAGTCAATATGCTTGACTTCTGTATAGTGCGTTTGAGATTAACACCTGATGCGTCTCTGTTTTTCTCTGAAGTTTCTTTTTGTTTTGACTGAGCAGACGGCTTGCAGCAGGCAGTTCTTCCTTTCATCTTTCTCTGATGATCAAAAGATTCGCAAGTTGTGGTTATTAAAACCTGGTGTTTAAGTTCTGGAGTACAAGACTGTCAGTGTAGGAGGCAGCCGATGATGTAATTTACAGTATGTAATAAATATCTGGGAAGTGCAATGCTGGAAGTCTATCTCTGTGTTCAAAAAAGTTCTGATATATGTTGCTTTGATTTTTAACTGCTTGGCAGCCTTCATTAGTGGTTACTGTAAGACTCATAAGTTATGAGTTGTCAGATGATTCATAATTGGAACTCCACAAGTTCAAGTGAGCATGAAGAAATCTTCAGTATTGAGGAGGAATGGCTCAACCATAAGCAATAAAAATGATGAGCACTTTGAGACCCAACCTTCATAAGAACAATAAATTTTAAAGGCAGAGATCATCTTTCCAAAGCATAATTTATTTGACCTGTGGCTGAAACTTGATAAATGATCTTGGGTAGAATGTTATAAATTAGTGAGTGATGTCGTTAGGAAGGCATCTTGGGTTATAAGCATACAATGGGTATGCATGGAGCATGCAGGTTATGGTGGGGAGGCTTTTCTAATATTTGGCCACAGAAGTTATTTTATATGCCAAATTAAATGGCTTTGTAAACCGACAGAATAATAATTATAGTAATAAAGTAAAGAAGATCACATGGGTTTCTCTCTTTCTGATATTATTTTATTTACTTGTGTGCTTTCAGAACACTCGAATGGAGGAATGTTCAGGTTGCTTGCAGTCTCATCCTATAATCCTGAGACTCTCAGCTGTATTTCTTTTTTCTTTTAAAAAAACAGTTTTCAATTTTAGTGAAAGTTCTGAGTATTTAATAGTGGGGATCTGAATACCAAGGAAACAATTTGTGGTGTAATTTCTGTAATGCACAAGTAGTCCCAGTTTAAAAATGAGTTTCATTCCCAAAGACTGTCCTTAAATTGAATTTGTTTGTAAGCTGGAAGTTTTATTGTATAATACTGTATAAGTAGTATGGTGTAATGAACTTGAACTATTGTGCATTTAACTCGAATCATTGTGTATTTAACTTGAATTTTGCTACAGTAGGCTCCATTCTTAACTATGGGTCGCCTGTAACCTGAGCGTTCTTAACCCGGGGACTACCTGTATTCAATTCACTGGGAATGTTCCTAAGCTAAAATTTGTTGTTAGGCACTCATTTCATTTGTTTAAGGAAAAACTTTCAAAAAATAAAGATCTTACAAAACCCTGCCTGGCATATGATGGAGAGTTCCTTGCTATTTTTCTGAGCAATACTGTATTATATTTCTCTGTGGTATACCAACAATGCTCTTTAACGGTCTTGTTACTGTCCTGCAGAGATTGTTTCCAAGAACGTAGCTCCAAGCAACCTCCTTACTGATCTGGAAAAGTAGCTCCTGTTGTGCATATTTGGGTGCATGAACATTCATCTGTATTTGATTCCATTATGGAATCTCTTCTAACAAATTCTAATAGATTTTTTAAAAAGAAAATGAATTAAAAATATCCTACATCAATAAAAATTAGGCAGCTATTGAGTATAGGAATTGTTTGTGCTTCTTTGCCCAATGATGGTACAATAATTAAATGAAAATTCCCTTGTCTTTCTTCAACCCTCTTGAATACTCCTTATACTACATAATATCTTACAGTCATTTCATAGCTAATAGATTGTTATATGTCTACATTTAGGGGATATATATACTTCATCACTTGATACTGCTCTTGTTTCCTGTGCTTCTAGTTTTATCTCTACTGCTGCCATAGAATTGGAGTGCTTGATTTCTTTGAAGCCACAATTCAGCTACCTTCTTTTTTGTGGTATATATGCATCATATATAGCCAATTCTTAATAAATGTACAAGAAAATTGAAAGATAAAGCTGCACAGCCATTAAATCATATTTCTTTTATTACCCTTATCTGTAATTTGTTTTATGCTTTCTGAATTTATAAAGCACCAAAGTCAAGAAATGTATGAAACTGATTTAATAGCAAAAACAAAACAAAAGAAGAAATGTTAATTGAAGAACAACACACTTGAAGTTACCATTAGATGCAAAAGAATTTGAACAAGTGCTAGGATTTCTTGTAGATTTCTCATGGTAGTTGACTGCATTTAAATAAGCCCATAGCTTGTATAGCTCACCCTCAAGATCTTCAGTAATTTTTAAAACTTCTTAATATTGCTGCTGAGATTTGTAAATTGCTTATTCTCATGTTTATGTTGCTCACACTAATTAATGACTCTTACAAGGGAGAAAAGGAGAATTGGGTCTTTTATTTATCATTTATACAATTTATATAAGTTTCTATCTCACCTAGATAATGCATAGAAAAGACAATATTATAAGGTAACCAAGGTGCCTAAAATTTATCACACAATCATAATCTCATGTACACTGGATTCAGTTAACTATCTGATCCCAATGCCCATGGGAAAAGCCAGGTCTTCAAGGCTTTCCAGAAAGCTAATAGGATTGGGACCATCCAGTAATCAGGGAGGATGCTATTCCATAAAGCAGATGCTACATCAGAGAAGGCAGAGGAGGCCCAGAGACAAGGAAGGCATGCTTCTTAGATCCTGCTAGAAAACACTGCTTCACAAAGGGAACCTGGAAAATGCCTACCTTGCCAGATCTGGAGGGATAGATAGCATTGAGGAGAGGTCGTCCCACAAACAACCTGGCCCTGTGCCATGTAGGGCTTTATAGTTGATCACCAGCACCTTAAATTACATCTGGAAGCTCACTGGGAGCCAATGGAACTTGTGAAGTAGTACTGCTATATAGCCATACCATAGTGCACCCAAACTGCCCACACCACTGCATTCTAGACTAGCTGCAGTTTTTGAATGCTCTTCCAGGACAGCCATGAGTAGAGGACATTGCAGTAGTCCAGCTAGGAAGTAACTAAGACATGGGTGACTGTGAGCAGAGCCTCCTGTTCCAGAAAAGGACACGGTTGATATGCAAGATGGATTAGGGCAAAGGATCTACTGGTCATGGTTGCTACTTGCTCCTTGACCAGGAGCTGCAAGTCCAGAAGGACCCCCACATTGCACACCAAGAGTAGGGTAGTGCTATTCCATCCAGAGTAAAAAAAAATGGTAAATCACTAGTATCGGGGGCCTTAAAATCCACAACCATTCAGTCTTACTAGAGTTGATTTGAAACCTGTTCTTCTCCATCCAGATCCTTATAGCCTCCAGACTGGGAAAAAGTGATGCCATCACTTGGATAGGGAGGGGGGAGATGTACAGCTGAATGTCATCAGCACATGAAGGCATTAAGCCTATGCCAACAAATTACCCTACCCACCAGCTTCCTGTAGATGTTAAATAGGAGTGAGGAGGAGGTGGAGCCCTGAAGCTAGAGACTCCACAGTGCAGAGATCTGGGACTAGATATCTTCTCCCCTGCAACCCTGACTGCAAATAGCCTTGTTGAAGGGAGGATAACCAACCCAAAACAGTGTCCCCAACTCCTTAAGGCAGTCCAGAATTATACCATTATCAATGGCACTGAGAGATCAAGGAAGGTCAGGATCGATGTACTACCCCCATCCTGAGACTGCTGGAGATCATTCACAAGCGCTATCAGTGCCATCTTGGTACTGTAAGCTGGCCTAAAACGTGATTGAAAAGGGTCTAGATAATCAGCTTTCTCCATATATCTTTGGAACTGCAAGTCTCAACAACTTTCCCCCAAAAGGGAAGTTTGGAAACCAAATGAAAACTGTCCAGTTCAGTAGGATTCAGCAATGGCTTCTTCAGTGGAGAGCAACCCATAATTTCTTTCAAAATAAGCAGAACTACTTTGTCGCTTTAGAAAAACATCCACATTAGGTGGATTCAACCATATGACATCTTCCAGGAGGCTTTAGTCAGCCAAGTGGGACAGGGGTCTAATGCATTCAAAGCCCCAAGGACTTTGTCCACTTTTTCAGGACAAACCATCTCAAATTCCTCCCAGATAATAGAGCAAGACCCCATCAAGCACCAGGATGCATCAATTGAATAGATCCTTCCTCCCTGCATATCAGGGAGTGTGAACTGTCTGTGATAAGGGATTGATAGAAATCTCCCCCAACTCCAGATCATGTCACCACTGCCCTGATACAAAACCCAGATCTAATACGTGGCCTTCCCAGAGGTCATGGCATCAATAACTTGGATCAGGTCCATGGCGGCTATAGGACTTCTGAGTAGCTTTTGTCCCCAGGCCCAAGGAAGATAGATTATAGTTCCCCAGAAACATAAGTCTGGGAATTCAACTATCAACCCAGTTACTGTGTCAATTGCTTAGGCAAGAAAACAGCTATGTACCAGGAGATTGGTATGAAAGCAGCAATCCCATCTGATCCTTCAAGGCCAACTTCACAAAAAGTTTCACATCAGGCTATCTGTGGCACATTATGGTCTGATAATCACCACTTCGCCATTCCTGCCCCAGAATCATGGCTGGTGCCACACAACAAATCCAACTGGGCACATCTCTGAGAGGGGATCCTACCTCTGTGCCCAGTCAAGTTTCAGTAATCCTATGAGGTTGGTCCACTCATCCACAATTAAATGGATGAGGCAAATTTTATTCAGACTGACTTTAGATTAAGCAGCAACTGCCAGAGGCTGCACTTTGACTCTCAAGGCTGGGGGTTTGAGGGTGTGTGTGTGAATTTCATTCTATATTAGTTCTACCAAGGTTAGGTTATATTCTCTCCAGATGTTTTTTAAAGACTGTGGGAACTTCAGTGTGTTGTCATTTAACTAACCTTTTTAAAGTGGGAGTTTGGAGAGAGGGAAACAATTTACCTTTATGATAGATCTTCAGGAAAATTCAGTTGTGTTGCTCCTTTTCAGATGCACTCCAGATTTTTCCTGTAAACTCTGATGGCTGGAAGAACAAAGACATATTAAAGACCAGCAGTGATGGAATGTAGAGATAACATCAGACAAAGGGAATTTAGTAGTTAATAAGATTAATCTGCCTGTGTAATCTGCAGTGGCCTTACATTCCAAAATATACTTGTCTCTTAAAACACAAGAATAATTAGGTTTCATTCTGTAGGCTGTGTAATCTCAATAGCTTCCTCAACTGTTTTAGATTAAGAATATATGTTGCATTGCATGAACATATTAAAATTTAATACTAAAGTTATGCAAACATTAGTACAAAGTTGCTTACTTTTGAATTACATTGCATGGGAATTGGCATTTCTCTATTTCTTTTAACATTCAGTGTGGTACTCAGTGTTAACACCTGAATATTTTCTGATATGGTTCCAGAGTGCTGTTTCTATGAACATTACACAGAAGTCACCCAAATCAAAGACTGTCATTGGAAGTATAAAAGAATTTTTGTTGCTTTCTCCCTGAAGCCCCTTTCTTCTACTCCCTCCTTTTCTGCAGAAGGAAAAATCAACAAAAATCATACCATCCTTCCTTCTGGAGCTTTTTATCTTGAGAACTCTAGTTCTGAGCCTCTAGATCTGTGAATAAAATTTATTTCATTCTCTGTGTAACATGGTGCTAGGAGTCTAGTATGAATAAACATGAGACTTACATTTTGGTCTGATCTAATTTTGGGGTATCAATCAATCAATCCATCCATCAGTCATCTATCCAGCTGGCCTAAATCCTTTAAGTTTGTTTGATGGTTTCGAAACCATCCGGAAGAGGTCATTGAACAAAAAACTTCTGCCATACAGGTTTTCCTTTGAGTTTTTTGTTTCATTGGGATTATATAGATCAAACCGCATTCTCAGACATGTTTGGTATATAGAACTCCAAAATGATATAAGTGCAAGTCCAGTCATCTTAGTATCAGCGATTTTATGAAGAGGTTTTTTTTAAGCACCAAATC